AAATTCCCCTCTTCCCTGTTAATGACCAGACCTAAAAATAGCCCCTTTGAAACTACCTTAAGAATCAATAAATTCAGAAGTTCCCCCACTATATTAAACAGTAAAGGAGACAAGGAACAACCTTGGCGAAGACCCTTAGCCATTGGGAATTCCTCAGTCAGAACCCCATTTACCAATACTAGAACAATAATTGTTGTGATACATTTCGAAATCCAACCACTCCATGTATTACCAAAACCCATTTTCCTCATTACTTTGAACAAAATAGGCCAATCGATTGTATCATAAGCCTTCTTGAAGTTAACCTTGAAAACACAACCCTTTAATCCATTCTTCCTCCAAAAATCAATCTTTTCATTAGCTATTAAGGAGCAATCCAAAATTTGTCGACCGAGGATAAAAGTGAATTAAGAAGGGCTGATTAAATCTGATATACAGCCCCTAAGTCTACTCGTAGACACTTAGACAAGATCTTGTATATCCCGCCAACTAAGCTAATAGGTCTAAAATCATCTAGGCCACCAGTGTTAGAGTTCTTTGGAATGAGAGGGATAAAAGTATGGTTTATTCAATGTTCACAATCCTTCCCCAAGTAGAAATTACGAAATAATTTCATAATACTTAAGGACCTGCCAAAACCGCTTGAAAAATCCAAGATTTAAACCATCAGGCCCCAGAGCCTTGTTGATGTCTCATGACTTCAAAGTTTCCCAAATTTCCTCCTCAGAAAACCCCTTTTCTAATAACTGACTTTGCTCCACAGTAATTCTGGAGAAATCCAGCCTTATATCAATAATTTCTAATATATATCACTCATCGTAAATCTTAAAGAAAATATCTTTTACTATGACCTTAATAGTTGTCGGGTCCTCAACTGAATCACCCCTAAATTTAAGAGAAACCAGAGTATTCCTCTTTTTTCTGACTGTAGCACACATCTGAAAAAAATTAGTATTGCGATCCCCATATTCTATCAATTTCGATATAAAATACTGAAACCAAATCTACTCCTGAATTTTAATAAAGATTCCACAATTATGCTCTGTGAGATTTCAATTCTGCTAAAACTCCACTGTCAATAACACCTTGCTATTGATGAATATCAACATCTATCTGCTAGATTTTCTTCTCTAAATCAGAAATCATGGCTGCTGGATACTGACCTCTCTTCCCAGCCCACTTTTTAATTGCAAGTTTTGTACTTCTAAGTAAACTGAACACACCAACCTTTTTATAAGCTTTCTTGCAGTTCTGAATTGATGATTTAACCAGATCCTCAAAACCCTCCTCCTCCATCAAATAGTTGAAAAGTCTGAACGGTTTTTTACCCCACTCAACACCTTTATTCACAAGAACTATAACATTATGATCCGATACAGACCTAGGGAGTAGTAACTGAACAATATCCGGATTAAAACCCCTCCCACAAAAAGAGGATAATTCTGCCCCATAAGGAACATGCTTAATTCTTCAAAGAAACTAGGTTTATCATCCTCCACTGATGGATCATAAACATTGATAAAACCATAACTGTAATTATTATCCATAAATTTACCAAAAATTGTTATAAATCTCCTGCAAACATACTGTTTTTCTAGCTCAAAAATATTGTCGTCCCAACAGCACAATAAACCCCCTGATAATCCGATTCGAAGGAGATTCTAAAACACCATTTAGATTACTGATCCCACTTCTTCTGAAAAAAGACTTATGGATTTTCTCTGACTTGGTTTCTTGCAGCCAAAGAAAAATGGGATATATACTAGAAACTAAATTCTGAACAACCATCTTTTTTTTCTTTTTTCCCTAAACCCCTAACATTCCATGAAAAAATTACTACTTTGACTTCATCATAAAAGAGAAAAATGCAAACTGAAAACCTCTACCAATATTACCTTAAATAACCCCATTCAAACTTTTCTCTAAAGCCATGATTTTCTCCAGAAATGCTTATTTCCCTTTCTTAAAAGACACTTCGAGAAGCTCACTCACCTCCCAAGTAGCTAGAGCTTCTTCTATAAGAACCAAGAAGGCTGAAGAGGAGGTTGTATCAATGCTTTCTTGTTCAAGAGCATCCCGTAATAAATCCTTTTTGTCCTTCTAATTAACAATCCAGATTTGAATCTTAAACAATCTCCTTCTGAAAAATAGCCATCAATCTCCCTATCCTCACTCCCAACCACTGTGCCACTGTTAATAATAGAAACTTTTCTCCCATTTGCAATCAAAACTGGTGGAAAACAAAGATGCTTATTAGCACTAAAAACTGCATCAATCTTTCCCTGACTAGCTCTGACCCCATCAGCTACAGGTGTGAACTTCAGCAAATCCCCATACCAATATCTCCTTTCCCCGACCTTCTGTAGACCATTTTACACATGCCCATGTTTCTAGTTACTAGCACATCACTCTTTAATTTAATATGTCTTCTGGATTGATGTAACTGTCTCCCCCTTGAATTATTCCCTGTATTAGATGTAACTAATTCAACCAACCTTAATTCTTCTTTTTCTACTTCTATCTCAATATTAACCAACTGTACTTCCATTGGGTTATTCTCCAAAACTTCAATCTTTTTACTGCCTTTCTCTTTTAAGTCTAGATTATGAACCATTTCCCCAAACTTATTTATTTTAAATGCTGGCCCAGAAGGAAAAATCGTAATTCCTTTGGACGCAGACTGCCCAGAATCCTCAGCTTGGGCCTGAGATCCAACAGCCGAAAAATTTCAAGTTTTTATCCCCAAATATGCAAACTCTCCTACTTTTATACTCCCAACATGTTGACTTTTTGGCAGCCCACATTTAATGTCTTTCCTCTCTAAGGAAAGTCTTGATAGTTGTATATTATCACCAACTCCTCCAGAACCATAAAAAACAGCCCACATTTAATGTCTTTCCTCTCTAAGGAAAGTCTTGATAGTTGTATATTATCACCAACTCCTCCAGAACCATAAAAAACTCCCTGGTCAATCCAATTGTCCACTGTCAGACGATATTTCCCTATTGCACCTGCTGCATCTGCTGCACCTACCCTACTATATGATAACATTCTGTCATCCTCTTCCTCAGACATTGTCTCAAAAAATCCCCCACCGGAACCTTTCACCGAAAAATTGTTGAAGAAAGAACTTGAGTATTAGTTTGTCGATCCGACCTTGAGACTAACTTTGAAAGATCTTCCATAAGATTCAAGAGTGATCACATCTGGAACATCAAAGGGGCTAGCCACCCTCAATAAAATTCTTGCCAATGTGAGGTCTTCTCTTTTCCTCGTAGCATCATGAATATCAACCACTGTACCCCATCTACCAGCTGTCTTCTTGAAGAAAGATTCATTCCAGCATAACAGAGGAACCCCTCATAATTCCACCAGACAGAAAGCCATTGAAACTCCCTCATCATTCATTAATGGTTCCACTCGATCAAAACATTATAGAAAAGCCTCTTCCCTGCTCTCCCAAATATCCAATATCTCCTCGTGAGTTTTAAAAACTATAGCGCAAGAGTTCCATACATAACCCCATCTAACAATTTGGACATCATAGTCATCCTTAACTAATGCATTCTGAATAAACTCGACCTGAAAAGAATGTCTGATAATCCCCATTAAAGACATCTTCGCCCAACTTGAACTTTCTGATGGAATATGCATTTCCAAAATATTTTTCTTGACACTCCTCCTATGGTGATCATCGGAAGGCATGTATTTCCCCCATTGCATCTCTATGTGACATCAATGCATCTCTATGTGACATCAATGCATCTCTATAAGTTCTATCGTCCCTTATGCTTCTATTGGAGTTTCCTACTTTTTTTGACGATGAGGACTCTGCATTATTCTGACTATAAACCTTGTTTGAATAAATATGCTTCCCCCTAAACCTTGGACGTCCATCCTTGTATCTAGCCGGACTAACAATGATTTTCCTTCCGTCTATCACAACACCATTCAAATCATTCACATCCCTCTTCAAACCAACCTCACTCTTGAAATAAACAAAAGCAAAGGTGGAAAATTTGTATTTTAGATTTTTAGTTTCTTTGGGAATAAAGACTCTCATAATAGGACCATGTACTAAGAATATTTCCCTTAAAGTACGTCGAGAAACCCTCCTACTGAGATTGTCGACAAAAGCCGACCAACTCTCATCGGAAACTAGCTTTTCTTTCAAATTCTCTCTCTACATTTTCTCTCTCTCACTCATTGTATTTCTAAGATGCTCCTATGAATCCCCAAACAAAGTTTCATTGTTTTCTATTACTTCCACATGGGTACATTGGCTTCACAGTTGACAGCAAACCATGAAATGAAAGACTTCAAGGACTGTCAACTAAACTTTTTCAGAGAAAATTCTATGATTTTTCCTAGAAAAGAAGCAATGCTGAAACTAATATGTGAATGCACAAGTTTCAACCAAATTATACTCGTAACTTTCAACATCAAAGCTGAAGTTTGAGATTTTTCTTATGGAAAAGAGCCCCATCAATATATACATATGGCAGATAATCATATACAGTTTCTACAATAATTTGAGTTCACTAGAAATCAAATTAAAAGTAAAAAACAAAATTTTTGATAGGGAAAAAAGAGATTCACAAAATCCCCAGGCTACTTTCTTGAAAGCTACTTACAAGTTCATTGAGAGGCTAGTTTACAAGTTGCCTACAGTAAATGAGTAGTTTAACTCCCATCTCTGCTACAACAAAGAGCTAACTTAAAATTGGGAAACGAAAGAAAAATGAACCAGCTTGACTTAGTAAAGGGCTTTCCTTTGAGAAGCATTGAATGTGGGATGAAATGCAGCACTTTGATATTTACATGTCACTTTTGATGTATTGGTTCTCAACCAATAACTCCTCCACCGTCTTTTTCTAGCCAATTCAAGTAGTTGTCGGGCGCCTCAACCCTCTCTTCCCCGTGGAAGAGGAGGGAATTTTTGTTGATATCAGAATCAATTAACACTGTTACTTTTCATAGAAGTTTGTAATATGTTTTTTGATTCATTCTACAAAGGGTTTGCCTGCGACTTCTCGTTTTCCGCCGACTTTTTCATTTCTTGCTCAAGCTGCTTGCAGTTCTCATCATGAGCTTTGTTAAACATCCTCACAAAATTGAGTAGAGTTGATGTAACTACAATAGACAACAGTAGTTTAGAAAAGTAACATGAAATAATATACTGTCCATAAAAGTGAATATTATAAGTAAATGAGTTCCAAAACAATGGGATAAACACAGGTTACTGGTGCACATCCGAAAGTACTAGCTGGAAATAGATCTTTCTTCTCAGGGGGAAAATAAAGCACATTTGAAGCCTCAGAAGCTAATGAACAAAGGGAGATAAAAAAAGCATTTCCTGTTTTTCGTTTATTTTCAATGTCTTCTGTGGTTTTGTACTAGCTTAAAGTCGAAGGTTTTACTTTTTACATCAAATACCTTGTTCAAAGGAACATTTAGCTGGATCTTCTCCGAAATAAATAATCAATGCATCTACGTTTCTACCCTGTCGATATAGAACCCAGATAATGATGGTTTAACACGGTGAACGGTTGTAAGAATGCCACCGTTTGCAACAAAAGCAAGAGACATACCACCCCGGAGTATAATGAAGCCAGGGATCTCACTTCAGCTTCAGCAAAACAGAGGAACTCCTTTAATTTCTGGAAAACAAAAGAAAACATTGAAAAGAAATATGCATATGCATATACATATACATATGCGCATGTATACGTATATGTTTATGTGTGTTACATCCATAATTCAGTTATATGCTTTCAATACCTCGCGGAAGTTTTCTGACACAGGTCCATCATTTTCAGAACTCGACAGCTCTTGAACGACTTCCTCCAATCCTTTGCTTATGGCATGCATTTCCTCTGCCAAAAATTTCAGTTGTATCTAGATGGGATCCACACGTCAGAGACAAGATGCCAGCTCTAACTCGAAATTATTTGCGTTAGAAACTAATAACATACCTTTGATGCCGGTTCTAAACTTGAAACGTCTTTTGAAAAATCTAGTACAAGTGGAAGCTTATCAGCAAGCACCTACAGTTTATTATTCAGAATTATTATAATAAATTTGATATATGAAAGCTTTAAAGAAGACGAGAACAAATTCTTTATGGTCACAGGAAATACAAAATATTGATTACCATTAATACCTTACAAAGGTAATGCATGAGAGTCATCTTATTGTTCCGTGCACGTGTATCTGTTAGTTTAAGAAGGCTGTCCAATCTAAATCCGACAGCAGAACCTAAAGCAAACTCATCGACATGGAACAAAAAGTAACATCATTAAAGAAGGAGAAAAAAAAATCAAGACTGCGAAGCTAAATCTAATAGGTCATATGACAGCCAACTGAAACCGGATGAAACTCAATACTTGAATGCATCTTAAGCTGCGTCAACGAGAGATAAAATGACAAAATGAAAAAAAGAAGGCAACAAAATAGTTGGTGGTTCAAAGAGAAAGGATAGAAAGTAGGAAACAGTATTTTAAGGGCATTTATCATATAGTTCATAGCAAGTCGTATTAACAAAATTGTTTATTTTCATGCCTTCTAATACTGATGATATGAATCTATGATAGTGCATTAGCATTGCTAACTCACCCCTTGCAGTTCCCTGATTCAAAGCATTTCCTAATGAAAGAATTGTCTGCATTACTCTCTTCAATTTGACAGAATTTCTGATCTGATAAAAGAAGTTTTAACATAATGCGATGTCAATCATTGGATAAAGAAAACCTTTCCATAAAGAAGAATACAAGCAGAAAATTGAATAACTTGCCTCCTCCACTATCGAGTTTACAATATTAAGGCTACGTCTGAGATCAGAAACCTAAAGGATAGTTTCAAGGCCACATAAATAACAATGAAAAGAGAAGAACATTTAGCAACCCTGGAATTTGGATACGAATTCAGATCAAACCTGGGAGCGAAACTGAATCTTGAAAGAGAACACCCTAAGCTTCGATTCAATTCGGGGGACTTTCATTAGCTCCGAGAAGAACTGTTTTCAGAGGTCCATGAAACATATTGATCCATTAGTGATGCTAAAAGAAGATATTAAGTAAAACTTTCATTCTCAGCAATGAGCTACTATGGATGCTGAACCGAGGTGAATATGCAGTTTGCCATCAATATCTTGGATAAATAACATACGAGAAATATCAGCCAATTGTATGAAACACAGCAATATGGGAATTCTAAGTTGATAATATAATTTATTCCAAAAAAATAAGTTGATAATATAAAAATTCCATTGGTAACAATATGAAAAAGTTAACCAAGTAAAAGCCGGATTGTCAAGTTCTAATTTTCCTTTCCGGTTGATGATGGGATCTAGCAACCAAATAAACAATGCATAAAGAAACAGTTATAAATCCTACATACCAGTTCACATTTTCCCAACTTATCCTTGTCTCCAGTGTAGCCCTGGAAAAGGAGTTATTATGCAATTAAACTCATGGAAATGACAAATAGTATAAGATGTTTTCACTGCACAGACATGATTCGAGGAGAGCATCAAACCCACTTTTACTATGATAAAGGATCTTAAATTCAAATAAGAACAACTCATTTCACCTTCAGTAGCTCCATCTCCTCTTTGGTAGGACAAAATTTTATAAGGTTATCAACTTGGTCAACATCTAATGCTGATTCCTCCAAGGCGAGAACAGAACTCTGCAACAGTTTAAAAAATAGCATAAGGCTAACAAGCAAGAGAATCAGATTTGAAAGAAAAACGGATTGTTAATGCAATTTGATATTTTTGCTTATTGACTGACCATATTGTTAAAGACACAACAATATCTAGACTAGCATTTGATAGCACATACATTGTCAAACATGATAAGAAATATTACTTTTTGTGATATCCAGGTATACAGAAGAATCGAGATTGGGAATTCATTATGCACATTTTATGGCTCTTTATATGACTACAGATGCTGACCAAGTTTTTAATAATAAAATTGTCCCTCCTACAATAATATTAGTAGCAGTTCCCTTGGTATCCTAAAATTACAGCAAGCTTTTCTCCTTAAGGATCATATAAACTAAGTTTATCACTTTCCATCAAAACTTAGTGCTACTTTTAAACACTCTAAAATGATGGGTACAAAGTTCTTACATGTACATTTGTTAAAAAGAAATAGACAAATGTGTTAGAATGAATATGCAACAAATTAATAAAAGGGCAAAATCAGTCCACCACAAGGATGAGTTTGCAGTTGATTTGAGGATTAAAACTATCCAAACATAAGGTTTTCAAGCAACAATTTTAGATAAGTAAATAATTGGAAACTGTAAATAATAACATTCAACCTACCATTAATTCAGGCAGGGGCACTTTCACTTTTGAAAGCATGATTTCACAATTATACGCACGCCTGAGGTCAATCTGCAAGAAGGAATAGTACTAAAACAAAAGCATACTGTATATAATTAATGATAAGGTTCGTCATTTGGAAATCATAAAAAAACAGCACATAGTATGAAGTCTTAGTTCATGCATGAGTATGAATCAGACTGAAAGCTTGCATTTTAATATGCACCATTCCAAGTTTCCAATTCATGTATGAGTATCTGTCATTGCTTATCTGCACCAAGTTTCCAATTTGGAGCAGTATTAAAATGTTTTATATTTTCTTCGGCAATGATGCTGATAAGCAATGACAAACAGGTGGATAAAATTGTATTCAGTATTTAATAAATGAAGACAGGGGTTAAATTGCTTAGTAAGTAACCTTAAAATTGAAGATAGATGATAACATCTAAGAATCAAGAAAATGAACCTTAACGAAATCTTAAAATATGCATTACCAGTTGCACTTTTTCAGTTTTTGACCCTTTCGCTGTACGAGAACTTGATTTACTACGATCTGTTTTAGGAGCAGCTGCTGAGAATAGATTCTCAAGCTCTGATATGTCGATCTCAGGAGCCCTACGAAGATTGTTAACCGTTCCATAAGACTTAAAAGGACACTGATTTTTTTTAAAAAAATCCTAACTTAGCAGAGCAGCACGTACTTGGAAGCTTCACTCGTTTTTTGTGCTTCAGCCCATAGGCTTCCCTGTACGGCTCTAGATAACTTCAACCAATGCAATGGCTTTAGTTTCTTGTTCTGGTCGTTCTTTAAATCACCACGTGACAAAAGTCTATTCTTTGCATTTGCGGATGAAATAAAAGGTGGTGGTGCAGGAGCTGAAGGTCCACTACCTGCCTTCTTACCAAAAGGAGCAGGGGGTGCAGATGATGAACCAGTTGTGGGTGGTGGTGGTGGTGGGGGTGCTGATGATGAACCAGTTGTGGGTGGTGGTGGTGGGGGTGTTGTTGATGAACCAGTTGTGGGTGGTGGTGGGGGTGCAGATGATGGACCAGTTAGTGGTGGTGGTGAGGATGCAGATGATGAAACAATTGAGGGTGGTGGTGGGGGTGCTGATGATGAAACAATTGGGGTTGGTGGTGGGGATGGTGCGGGTGGAGACGATGAAACAGTTGGGTGAGGTTGTGGAGGTGGCGGGGGTGCTGATGATGAAACAGTTAGGTCTTGTGGTACCGGTACTAACGAAGATACAATTGGGGGTGGTAGTGAGGGTGCTGATGATGAAACAATTGGGGCTTGTAGTGGCGGTGGTACAGGTGCTGATGATGGAACAATTAGGGCTTGTGATGGGGGTGGTGCAGGTGTTGATAATGAAACAGTTGGGGGTGATAGTGGTGATAGTGTTGATGGGGGTACTGATGATGCACCACCTGTGGGTGATGGTGGGGGTGGGGATGCTGCTAATGGAGTAGTTGTACTTACTTCTTGAATGGAATGAAAAGTAGGTAGTGAAAGTGGAGGAAGTGCAGGCGTGGAAGCTGCATTTTCCTTTAAAGGTGGCATTGTAGGAGGTATTGGTGCTGGAGTTGTCATTAACCCAACTAAAACTTCCTTCAAAAATTGAGATGTTTCTGGAAGTATGCCACTGATAATTTGATTATCTTTTACAGGTGGTGTTTTCGGAGGCGGTGTAGCAGGTGTGGTCTCTTTAACCGCAAGGTCCTCCTTGGCAGGTGGTGTTTTAGGAGGTGGAGATTTAGTAGGAGGGGTTTGTCTAGCAGCACGGTCCTCCTTGCCGAGTGGTGTTAAAGGAGATGTCACAGGTGAAGCTACTGCAGAAGATGGAGAGGACATAGAAGAGGAAGCCTTGGAAGGGTGATCTTTGGCTAATGCAACAGACTGGTTATTTTGTTGTTGTGAAATCGCAAACTGATTGAATGATTCAATTTGAGAGTCTTGGGGTTTAGCCTCCTTACTTACAGGTGACTTATCTGAGGGCACAACCAGAGTCTTCAAAGACATAGTTGTGGGACTCATCGGGCTACCTGGTAATGTCGTGAGTAGTTTTTCTTCCCAAAGTGTTCTAGGACTAGTTCTCCATCGCTGAGGGCTGTCGACATTGTTATTCGAGTCACTGTCAGACTTCTCTTGGGAAATATTTAACGCACCTATTTGTTGAAGCATGTTATATGTGGCACCTGACTTGGAATCCAACCAGTCAAGATTACTAAACATTTCTTGAACTTTGGAAAATGCTTCTATAGGAACTCCTTCTTTCTCTTCATAGCAAAAAGCATCCGTGGGAGTAACGGAAGAAGCAGCATCATTTTCTGAGAAAAGAATCTTCACCCACAGGGTAATTTCTATTAGAAGAAAACACACCCACCCGAAAAATAAAATACTTACAATCAAAATATACACAAATATATATATATATACCTCAGATCTAAATTCTTTGGGAAACTGCTCCTTAGCATCCCACAATATATCAAGTTCATCTCGACTGAATATTAAAATGTTTGATCTAATAAAAGATGTGTTAAATACAACCCTGAATATCATATTCTCTCCTTCTTTGTCATTCAAGTTGACACACTCAACCACAACATCGCCTTGAACATGGCAGTTTATGTCAATTTTAGCAAGTGCACATTCTTTCTGCATTAGAAACAATAAGGTGTTATCCAATCAAACGGCGGTCATATACATAAGAAGATGTAATAATATGAGCAAACCTATGAAACAAGACGTTAGCATGCATATACATGCAATGAGAATGAAAACAAATATCGAAGTGGAGAGATGTGATATTACCTGCTTATAATATCGGACACATTTGCTACTTTTAGGGCTTGAGTACAAAAGTTTTGGAGTTTTATCAGCAGTAACAGAAGGATCATGTCCATATATTCTAAATATCGGATGGCAGCCTCCCTCTCCATCAACATTTGGAATGTGTCTAAGAATGATGCAACCCAAGGTGAGAGGTCGATCCAAAGGAGGCCATTCTATGGACACATTTCTCCTTGAGATATATCGTAGATACCTCAATTGTGAAGGCATTGGATTCAGGGATGATAGCACTTGTAAACGCTCATTCGGAGCTTGCCTGTATATCATGTCCAATGTCTTCTGCTCTCCGCTGTACTGCTTCCTATATAGCAGCAATGCAGCCAGCACGAAAGCCATGACTGGCCAACCACCCCGCTCGCAATGCATTAATAGCAAATTGTTCTCATCAAGCGAGAGCCAGCTTTCGCATGATCGCATGAAAAGGTGGAGCACCTCCATAGTAATTAACGGACACCCTTCATACTGACAGGGGTAATCCATTATTTTCATGTTGTACTCAGATATTAATTCTGCCATATAGCTTCTCTTTTCGCCTTCGCGGAAATTAAAGACCAAGAATGAAGCCTCAGGGAAGTGATTTGAAAGATTACTAACTATTCCCTTCATGTGGACTTTGTAGGTTTCTTCTTCCCAAGAATCAATAGAGAAGCAGCAATCAAAAACTATTTGCCACCATAGCACACAATTTATCAGGTACTTATTTCGAGTGATAAAATTACCCTAAAAGAAATAAACTATAATTCATCTACCTAAATTCTGTTTTTATACTCTTCTGCTCCTACCTACACTTCAAACCCAGAATTCAAAATGCAAACTTTCTATTGTCTTCCCAGTTTTTTAACCAACCAAACAGAACCCAAAATCTAAAAAGCAACAATCTTTTCAAAATTCATCTTTAATCACCCGAATACTAATCATTACCAGAGTGACCAGTCTTTCCCTACTTAAAAAAAGTTGAGAGATTCCAATATAATCATTGAATTTCTATTTTCAACAATCCTAAATCCCAATTATACATTAAAAAAGAGAGGAAATAACACGAATTGAAGCAAAGGCAAGAAGAGAAAAACGCACCATGAATTCGTTCACAGATCTCCAGGAGGCCATCAGGTGGCTTCTTGTAAAAGATTTTACGAAACAAACCCATACCTTTGCTCTAGAATCCTCGAAAGTTGAAACCCAGATAACAAAATCACTAAAAAAAAGACAAAAGAGGGGGGAAACAAGACATTGTCCTTGAAATAAGGAGTTAGTTGAAAGGGCATTGTAAATTCTATCGAGGCTTTAACTTTGCAGCTGACAAGTAAGAGAGAAGCCATCATGTCACCCTTTACTGACATGTACATTGTCTCTCCCATGAAATCTACTACAACATTTAGTTATATGAACCGATTTTGGCATTTTTGGGGGGAAATGCCCGAAAAGGAAGCTTTCTCCCTCATAAACTCTTTCCATTCCTTTTACACTTCCATTAATGTATGCTTACAAGTTACAACTGCAGCTGAGTGGAAGAACAAATGCCCTTAATAAAGCCATTGTTGTCAGCTGAGTAGTTTTATCAAGTTTGCTCAACTTTTCGGAAAGAAAATATGCCTATTTTTCTATACATATAAGACATGATTTGGAACATGCGTCAACATGCACATGTTAGATAATTTTGTATTTGGTAGATCATGTAATATTAGTTTTTTATATTTAAATTTTATATAAAAATATAATAATAATTATATTTAGTAATATTAAGTATTTAAATCTTATTAGTTAATTAAAAAGATATATTTTAATTCATATCAATAGAATTTGAATATAAATATATATAATATTAATATGTATAGATGTGATTTTAACATGCATAGCTGTGATGTTAATATGAAGAGACATAATATTAATATAAAGAGATGTGATATTAACATGAAAAATTGTGATATTAATATGAAGGGATATGATATTTGCACGAAAAGTTATGATGTTATATGATTTCAACATGAATAAGATGTAATGTTAATACAAAGTTATACAATATTTAATGAAGAATTGTGATATTAACATGAAGAGATATGATGTTAACATGATTAGATTTGATATTTATATAAAGAGATGTATATTAATACGAAGAGACAATATATTAACACGAAGAATTATAACATTGTGAATAGATATTATGTTAATATGAAGAGGTGAACATCTTCAATAAAAGTTAGGTTCTCCCTCTATTCCTATAACATAATAAAAATTGTTTTCTCCACTAGAAAGTTATCAAATATTAAGGATCCAAATGAGAGCAAGACATGTATTCAAAGGAAATTTTAATAATGAAAACATAGTTTATTATTTAAAAGAAAAATCTGAGCCAAAAGAGACGCGATTACCCTCGTTGGTAAGTATATTAAATTTTACGACCTATTTTCAATCTATTATTTGAGCCATACATGTTGTTTATTTAATCCGATTCCATGTCCTTGAAGACTCCTGAAAAACGCCGAAATTTATGTACTCGACAGGATAGAGATCCTCTGGCACGATATCAATGTCCACATTCCGCATCATGTTTCTTCAAGGATACCAAGTTATAATCTACGAGCAGCCCATAGGTAGATTCAAGAGAATTGGGGACCGGTTTGGTGCATTATTTTGACACTTTGTAGAACGGCATTATGGTCATTTACGAACACCATCAAGAGGTGTTAACGTGTGTTCTCTTTTTCATGTTGGTGTTCGTGACAGCGTCTGAACGAAGCTACATGGAATTGGCGATTGATGAAGACGATAATGATAGTGTGCCATGTTTATAACAAGGAGCAAAAGTACAACTTGTACCGGAAGAAGCTTTTCCATTTACATTTCTGAAAAGAGTAATGGCTGATTATGCTTAGATCTTTTTCAACACTCTGGGGTCTATTCATTCTTAGTTTCTTCATTATCTGTTAGCAGCCTTCACTTTTGGGTGAAATTAAGGTAATATTATTCCAGTTCTACACACTTGAACGGCGAATCATTCTTGAAAGTGTTGTAATGCAAGTTTCCTGGGAAATTTTCTGTTGATTTCGACTGCCAATATTAGGTCACTTTTAGCAATTTATATTAGTTACAAGTGTGTTGAACTTTTACTGATTGTTATAAACTAATCGAACAATGAATTGGACCATCACACGTATGCTATTGTTTGTGTGTGTTCTACGTGAGTTGAAACAAGCCTATCCTCGTCTACTTCTCGACACCCGTGAATTCACGATTCGCTTTATTATATTTTATTCTCTCAACGTATTCATAAATATTTTTAAAATTTTAAATTATTTATTATTTTATTTTCATATTAATTCTAATTTATGTCATAGCATATTATCATATAATACATATCAATACTTATATAAAATTTACTATTTTTTAATAATTTTACTAATGAAGGAATGTGATTGATATATGTCAATAATTTAAGAATAAAATTGAAACATTTAAAAATTAAAGATCAATTAAAAATAGACTCTGACGTTAAGAATAATTAATACAATTAACTTTTTTTTATCATTTTTTTACCATAATCAAAGTAAAAAGTGACATAGATTACGATAGGAAAGTGAAGTAATATAAAGTAAAAAACTAGGAATCCATTTTCACTAATTTGAAGTAATCGTGGCTACTGTGACGCTAAGATCTCGATTACTGAGTTGATTCGCGAAGGTGAAAGCATTGGCCCCTAAATAAATGGTGAAAGGGAATAGGGATGTATAAAGCTGATCCGATATGTAAAGTTGACTAAAATCGATTTTAAACAAAATTGTTTTTGACCCGAGTTGATGATGATCCGAAATTGATTCAAGTTTGAAGTGGTATTGACCTGAGCCCGAGATTAACTTAAAAATTTACGACTTGCACCCGACTTGAGAACAACCTGAACTCGAATTGAATCTGATAATGTGATAAACGAACTCGACCTGCAACCGACCTAATATGAACTTGAACCCGAGATTAACCCGATAAATAATCGATATTACCTTACTTTTTATCAACCTGATCTGTAATTGACTCAACCTGTAAATGATACAACTTGTTTCTGATCTAATATTTACCTAACTTATAAGATACAATTGATGAAGTTATGAAATGTTGAAGAAGTTGTGAGATTTTGAATTTATAATAAACTATGATAATTAATATGATTATTTAAAAAAAAAATTGTTAGTTATGGTAATTAAATTAATAAGTTTACTTTTTATATTAATTATAATCCTCATATTATAAATCTTAATTATAATCATTAAATTAATTTAATTAAATAATTTATTTATTGAACATGGTTTTATTAGATTATATAAAATTAATTTAAATGTTTATAAATTTAATTTATTTTTATATAATAATTAATTAATAATTTAAATATAATTTAGTTTTAGAATTTTAAAAAATATATAAAAAGATAAATTTACTCGAGATTAAAAATTTAAAAGTTAAGAATTAATTTAAAATAAATCGTATACATATATATATATATATATATATATATATATATATATATATATATATTCACATGAGTTATGATAGAATTTTTTATAGAAAAAATGGTGGGAAAAAATGGTGGAAGACTTTTTTTTTTAAAGAACAATTGGTTTTTAGGAAAAATGGGTTGTTTTTTTTTAGGGAGATTTTGATATTTTTGGAATTTTGAAGCAGGGTTGGGAGGACTTTATGTCCCAAAAGATATTTTGGGCTAATTATGATCTCGCTCCTCGAACAATTAATTTTTTTTTGTAATCTGGTTTTTGCTTTCATTCATTTCAGTCATACTTTAATTGAAAATATCTTCTTTAATTTTCAATTCAATGCAATTTAGTCCTATATACATTCTAATTACTTTTAATTTTCCCTTCTTTCTTTAATGTGCATAATTACTTTTTATATATATATACTTTATACTTATATATATATATAAGTATATACATATAATGAATGCATAAATATAAATGTATAATATACATTTGATATACATGAATTATATTACCATGACATTCATCATACATATTATATATATATATATTATAAGTATAATGTATACTTATATTATATACTTATATAAGTATATACGTATAATGTATACATAAGTATAATTTATATATATATATATATATATATATATATATATATATATATATATATTTATAGTTTATAGTTTATATACTTTATACATATACTATATAATTTATATTGTATATGTATACTATATACTTTATATATATATATATTGTCGCAACCGTCTTTCGATTAGGCCCCGGAATTGGGCCTCGACTTGAAAAATGTGGATTAGAGTCGCCACCGATCATTTATTTAAAACAAATGGGTTGATCGGATACCCTATTTCTTACCTGATGTGCGTCTTTCCAAAGATGTGTCGGGTTCGGGAGTCGGTTACGGTCAAGGAAGGATTAGCACCCTTGAACCGTCCTTTCGGTACTACGTAATTTCTAGTTGTCTTTGATTAAGAAAATTGCAAGTTAAATTAAAAGGTAAAATTTGATCCGAATTACTTACCCTTAATGAGTTTACGGAAATACCCTTAAAAATAAAATTTCAAAAGAAAATAATAATAATAATAAAAGAAAGTAACAAAACTAAAGAGTAAACCAATGAAATAAATAAAACCAATAATAATAAACATAAAATAATTAGATGAAAAAAATGAAATTGAATAAAATAAAATATATGAAGATAAAATATATATACAAAAAGAATAAAAAAGGTAAAGTGTTTTTTTTAAAAAAGAAAAATAATAATAAGAACAAAGAAACTAAAAATATAATGAAAATAAATAAATAGTATAAATAAAATAATAAAAATATATATATATATATAAATATAAAAATGTATGTATAATATAATAAAATACTAAATAGTAATAATAATAATAAATAAATAAAAAATAAATATACTTATAATATTAACTAAAAAAATAGTAATCATATAAATATAAAATAAAATAAAGTAAGAATATATATATATAACGTTAGAAAAATATAATAAAAACATAGTAAATAAGTAAACATAGATAAAAAAATAATATATATATATATATATAATAATAGGAAAATAATATAATATAACGTAAAGAAAAAATAAAAAAATTTATAATAAATAAATAAATAAAATATAATTAAATATATACATATAAATAATAAGGGTTCAATTAAAGAGAAAATAACCTCAGTGACAAAAAATCCCATATAATATACGATTTTAACCAACTTTTTCCAGATTTGCCAAAATGACCAACAAAATCGCAATGCGATCGCTAATTCGCAACGCGATCTCCATTATCGCAAATCAGTTTCCAAATTCGCAACGCGATTATGACAATCGCATTGCGATGCGAATAAGTAAATCGCAATGCGAATTTGGAAAATCGCAATGCGATACTGACTATCGTAATGCAATTTTCCTAATTCGCATTGCGATTTACGTATTCGCGTTGCGATTTTCATAATTCGCAATGCGAATACGTAAATCGCAACGCGATTAAGTAAATCGCAATGCGAATACGTAAATCGCAATGCGAATCTTACTATCGCAATGCGATTTACATAGCGCCATTCGTATTAACGCGTATTTTTTTTTCAAATTCCAAACACGAATTTTTTCTTAATATATCGGATACTGAACCGTCCACAGTAATCTCAACTCATAACCTCAAACCTAAAATCACAATACTCAGTCTCATCTCCATCTCTCACTCTCTACGGCGAAATCCGTCCCCATCTCCGAAGATTTCCGTCCCCATCGCCGGCGAAATCCCTCACAACCATTCACGGTCAGAAATCCCTCACAATCATTCAGAAATGGAAAATCAACCTCCGAGGGTTAGTTTTTTTTTATTTTTATTTTGAAATTTTTGCATTATTTTAGGTTTTTCATATTGAGATTGATGATAAGTTTACTGGTAATTTCAATAATAGATTAACCATTTCACTTAGATTTCTTATTAAATTCATTCGATTGCTGCCAATACTGCTAAACTGTTTAGCCTGTGAAGTTAGTCTTTGTCTTTGTTTTGTCTTTTGGTTGAAGTAATGCAGAAGAAGAATAGTTTCGAGAATGAAAATCGCAACGCGGAAATAACTATCGTAACGAGAGAATCGCAACGCGAAACCAAAATCGCATTGCGATTTTCATTTCGCGTTGCGATTTTCATTTCGCGTTGCGATAGTCATTTCGCGTTGCGATTCTCTCGTTGCGATAGTCATTTCCGCGTTTCGATTTTCATTATCTCGTTGCGATTTTCATTTCAACCAAAAGACAAAACAGTGTTGCAAATTTTAGTTTCAAGAATAAACTACTATTTATGTTTATTGTTTTTGGTATATCTTCACAGTGTAGTTTTTGGTATATCTAACTTGGTATGTTTATTGTTTTTGTAGAAATTTTTTTCGGCTTCATTGACATTAAGGAATAAAGTTAGCCTAGCCACTACAATTGCTTCGAAGCTTTCACCTGCACAAAGAAAATTGTTTGAGGAAACCTGCTTCGGACCATGGCTGAGAGTACAGCATCCGGGTGGAGATGCTAATTTGACCCATTTGTGGCTTCAGACCATGACTAGCGATCTACCCGACAGTATACAACGTGGTGAGGAAGAGATATAGTTTCATTTTCCACCGGCGTATACTTGTTTTGGGCGGAAGGAGTTCTGCTTAATCACTGGTCAACGATTCGGACACGATGATGTAGGCCGGTACACTCGTCATATCACCCGCCCATCATGGTTATCCAGGGTTTTTCCTGATGAGTCAATAGAGAAGTCGAACTTACACGTC